CCTCTTATTAAAGAAGTTAACTGTTCATGCATTTCTAGGACGAAACCATAACCGAGGATGAGGAGGAATTCAATGAATTCATTGAGGAGCATCTTAACTATTTAATTCGCTCAATGGTATGGTTCTGACTACATTCAAGCTCAGAATTTTCCTCTAATTTCATCGCTGCAATCGCAACTCAGTAATTAATTTCGAACGTAATTTTGTGTTTAAATGCCTTTCTTTCTTATGAAAAAAATGCTGGTTTCCTTTTGTGCTTTTATACCGAAGCAGTTGCGCAAAATGAATATTGGCACAATCTTATCTGTGTGTGTGTGTGTGTGTGTGTGTGTGTGTGTGTGCCATTTACGTGATTTTTGTCCGGGGTTTTTAACTCAGGAATCAGAAAACTAGGAAGCTCAAGAATCAAGTACAGAAAAATAAAAGTTTTGACGAAAAAACTGGGGACACGGAGCTAAAATACTAGAAAAATTAAGAAGTCTTACGCCCTTGTGCGTCACGGAAGGTTTCAAATTCAGTTCAGATACGTCTAAGTCTCATATACGGACACGGGAGGCTTTGGCGCACTCAGGAACCAGACAAGGCAGAAAGATGAAATTTTTAGAGAATGTTTCCTGCTTAAGTCCAAAATTTAAACAGAAAAAATTCTTTCATATTTTTAGCTCCAAAAATTTTACATCTGACTTCCGTCCTGGATCTTCGAAAGCTTTAGCCGATCCAAATTATTTCTGCATATATCAAGTGAGGCAATGAGCATTTTTAGCATCAGAGTTCACTGGATAGAACTGCACAAAATGGACACTACTTTTTTTCGAAATCGAAACGACGGGCAATTCCGGAATTTTACACAAGCTTCAAATGGACATTTTTTCTCAGTGGTCCTAGCGTTCCTTTAAAATACTGTGGATTCTGCTCAATAATAAATACCATCCGACTGCTGTTCTGTGTCTCAGGAATTATGACTTTATTTTTACAATTCAAAAGCTCTTTACCCACGAGCTGTAGGGGGGGGATTTATTTTAAAGCGAAGTCAACTGTGCAGGCAGATTGCGATCTGTATTTGATGATACAGCCTTATAACTAGTTAGAAATTTTCAGCTGCGACTATTGCTGATAGATGACGAGCCAGAACCACCGCCAGAATCACTGCCACGCACCGCGAATCAACCATATGCGATGTCGAATGAGATGCGAAACAGCGCTCTGAGAAACCAGCTTCCTTCCAGGCCTCAGCAAGTTCGTGAGGAAATCCCGCCTTCGGTGCTCGACGCCTTAGGAAGGCGGGCTTTCTGCAGTCGCCACATGTTGCTGCCACCAGCGAGAATGCGATGGTTCGTGAACACCGCGGTGTACAGGATTATCGATAACGATGGATGCGTGCGAATCACCTATCTCCGGCCTTCTTGCGGAAGAGAGCTCAGCACTTGCCAACGGAAAAAGGTATGCGATCCTGAAAGTACTCCAGTGCGTTTTGTAGATCCACAAACTGTAGCTGAATTTCCTGCGCTTATTTTTATGTTGGATCAGAGAGTAGTATTTAGGAAATACGACAACTCTGTAGAGCAGCTTGAGTAAACAATGATGGCATTAGGTACATATTAAAAGCGAAAAAAAAGCAGTTTGAGGCTGTGAGGCTCCGTACGGTGCCCTGGGAGTGTACTTGCGTCTCAGCATTATCGAAATTTTTTGCACCGGCGCCTAAGCGACGTTGAAAAATTTGAGAAATTTTGAGTCTGTAATGTTTGTGCCACTTGAAGTGCTACCTAAAAAGTTAAAATACTTTTTTGCTTTATAGATTTGACACATTTATTTGATAACATCACTGAGATCAATACGCGCACCGTAATTTCGCCAACTTTCTTGCTCCTTCTCTCACGAGTATTGTAGCATTCACGCTAATTTACTTGAATAGCATAT